CACGCGGGGGCGGGTGGCGGGCCCCCCCCCCCGCCAGCCTCTGCTGTGGCGGCCTCGGGGTGCCAAGGGGCGTGTGGTAGGAAGAGGGGGCTCAGGGGAAGGCAGGTTCCCAGTACCGGGGCGGTTCCGTGCTTTGGTGATAACGTAGCTCGGCTCTGAGCATCTGAGGAGTCCTACGTTTCTTCACGCGTGGCTGTGGAAGTGCGGCTTGTTCTAGCAGCTTCCAATAGAAGTGAGATCTGCTGCTCGGCAGAACTACAATTAAATATCCTTTTACTGCAGACAAAATTCAAGCATTAACAGCTAACAGAAAGTGTCTGTTTGCAAGGAAAAAAAAATGTTAAGTTAAACAGGTGATACAGTTTTCAAAAGATAAACACCCAATGTTAGGAACAACATCCCCTTGGCCCAGTTTTTTGTTATACCAGACTTTGCTGAGAAAAAAAAAAAGAGGGCCAAGTTCCTGCTTGGGCATAACTTCAAGTGCCGCAGAACATCGGTTGGACTGATCTCAGGACAATGCATCCGTGAAAAGTTGCAGGAAGCCCGCTGGCACTTCCACATTTTCTGCGCTGGTGGTCCAGTTTATGACTCTCTGTACTTCTTTTCATGCTATGAAATCACACAGCAAGGCTTACTCTGAAAATTGCCAAGGAAGACTCTATAGTTCCAGAATTGAGATAATGCCTCGTCAATCTGCTAAATCATTCTCCACAGATTTTGCTCATCAGAAGAGCTATTTGAAAAACCTGCCTGCCTGAGAACTTTGATGTCTTCCACTGCAGAGAAGAGGCATCAGATCTGCAATTTCATGCTGAACATCTGAATGGCTATTAGGGGCTTTGTGCAGAAATAAGGCAAATTTCTGAAGCAGCTGAAGGTTACTGAAGAGTGGTCTCTGAACTCATGCTTTATTTTCACCTTACTCATGGTCAGTTAAGCCCTACCTTTCCCAGCTGTCAAGGTCAGGACTTTGATGGGCTTGAGAGGTGGTCCCATGCCAACTTGATGAAGTGCAAGAAGGCCAAGTGCAAGGTTGGGCCAATCTGAAGCACAGTTACAGCTTTGGCAGAGGATGGATTGCCAATAACCCTGGAGAAGAGGATTTGGGAGTGTTGCTGGGTGAGAAGCTCAACGCAAGTCAGCCGTGTGCTCTTGCAGTCCAGAAAGCCAACTGTGTCTTGGGCTACTGTCCTTGCTTGAGCCAGGATAGAACAAATTTTCTTTATAGTGATTTTACTTTTCAGTTAAGTCCCTTTTAAGTAGCTGCAGGTACTGGTAACGCTCCATGTTTATAGTTACTGCTGGAGAATGGTGTTGCAGCACCAAGGCCACTGCTGGGTTCTGAAAAACATCTGCTCCAGAAACAGAAGGGAGGAAAGGTGTCACATCTGCATCCCTCCTTTGGGGAGAAGCCGACCAGACAGGAGAACCAGAATTGGCCAAAGGAAGTATTCCATCCCATAGACTTCATGCTTGATGTAAATTTAGGGATCATGAGGGTCAAGCTCTTCTTCCTCCGTGGCCAGTGTCCTGAGAAGATTCCAGTAATTCTTCTGCCTTTGACCCTGATCTGTGTGTTCCTGAATTTGTGCGTTCCTGCACCCAGCTCCTGCCTGTCACTGACTTCAGGAGTCTGGGACTTTTTACAGAGCCTGCCCTGCAGTCTTGGTGATGATGTGAGCATTATTAGGGAGACACAGTGCTTTTACATATATTTGGATATATTTAATTACTTTCCTTTTCAATACTCGTGTTTCATTAAAGCTCTGCAGTTCAGTTTCAATCCCATAACTCTCTCCCTTATCCTCCGTCCTTTCCCCATAGGGGAGGGTAGAGGGGTTAATACGGATCATCTGTCATTCCTTTTGTTGACGGCTTAGGGTTAAACCATGACAGCTGCATCAAAAGAAGCATGGCCCAGGTCGAGGGAGGTGATTCTCCTGTCAGAGACCCCATCTGAAGTACCATGTCCTGTTCTGGAGCCCCACACACAAAAAGGATGAGGACCTGCTAGAGCAAGTCCAGAGAAGGGCCACACAGATGGGCAAAAGAGGGCCGAAGCACCTCTCCTATGAAAAGAGGCTCATAAAGCTGGGGTTGTTCAGCCTGGAGAAGTCTCCCGAGAGACCTCATAGTGGCCTTCCAGTACATGAAGGGCACTACAGGAAACCTGGGGAGGGACAATTAACAAGGGCATGTAGCAATAGGGCAAGTGGTAATGGCTTTAAACTGGAAGAGGGTAGATTTAGATTAGATATTAGGAAGAAACGCTTCACTCTGAGGGAGGCCACAAACTGGAACCAGTTGCCAGGGAAGTTGTGGCTGCCCTGGAAGTGTTCAAGCCACGTTGGACAGGGCTCTGAGCAACCTGATCAACTGGGAGGTGTCCCTGCCAATGCAGGAGGGCTGGATCTAGGTGATCTTGAAGGTCCTTTCCAACCCAAACCATTCTATGATTCCTCGTTCCTAAGAAAAAACTGAGCAGCAGCGACGTTGCTGCACAAAACGGGTCAGCGCGACCCATGCCAGGGGATGTTTACTGCAGCATCCTGAGCATGAAGAAGAGCTGAATAAACAACAGTAAGCACTGAGGTCTTCAGCCTTAAGCCCTAAGCAAAGCAGATAACCAAGAACCTTCTTCTTTCAGTAACTAAAACAGCCTGTCCTCAGGATGGCAGGACCCCCTGCTCACCAAAGCTTCCACCCTACCCTCTGAGCAGGCCTAGCGAAGAGGAGAAGCGCGACCACTTGAAGTGGGAGCAAAGCACTAGTTAACCCATCCCACAGAGGAGTTGTATCAGTACACTTAGAGAAGAGAGAATTTTGGCATTTCTTGTGGATAAAAGAAGCCCTGTGATACAGGGAAGGGGTGCTGGCCCTGGGGATTTACCACCGAGCACCCTTTTCTGTGCAGAGCAGGAATAAAGAAGTACCTGGGCTTGCCATGAGGATTGCAGTAGTGCACACCGGGTAAACGCACCCTGGTTTGGCACAGCAGCAGTCCCAACATTTTCCACATGCTCCCGCCCTCCCCACAAGGAACATGCTTGCAGACCCCACTTTGCAGACAAATCTCCTACACGGACCTGAATTGCCACCTTTATTTCTCCCCACCCCCGCCTGCCCCCTTCTCCTTCTTCTCCTCCCCTCTTCCCTCAGTTTCCGTTGACGCCTTCTGGTTTTGCCATCTTCCCGTGAACCTGCACTCGATACACGCAGGTGTAGTCAGGGTTTCCCCAGTTGCTCTTCACAAGCAGTTTGATGTATGAGAAGGGTCTGGGGAACGGTGCATCCTGTAAAAAGGGAAAAGGAAGCAGAGCTGTTCAGAGGGACAATGCCACCCACAGATCTCCCTCCCCCTGCCAGCCCTCCTGCTGCTGCTGCTCCTGCCCAGGAGCAAGCTGCAGAAGATGGGTGGGAGCAGCTGTGGAAATGGGAGGCCCATTCCTGGACCCGCGGCTGCTGGGGAGCCTGGGGGCCCCGGGAGGGCCCCCGCAGGCCCTGCCGGGC